AGGGTAGAGAGAATAGTGCAACAATGAATGAGTGGAAGCCCAAAATCTCTGTAAATGTTTATGAAAATTAATAAAATATAATTATAGAAGAAAAAAAAAAGAACGGAGTTTAGGTCTCTTGTACATAGGGTCGCTATGTGTCGCAAGCGACTCAATGGCACATAACAACAACAACAATTATTTTCTATTCCCTGGTGGTACACTGGTTAAGTACTTAGCTGCCAATGGAAAGGGTGGTAGTTCAGACCCGCAAGTTGCTCCGCAGGAGGAAAAGGCCTAACAATCTACTCCAATAAAAATGATAGCCTTGGAGACTTTTTGGGGCAGCTCTACTCTGTCCCTTAGGTCACTAGAAGTTCTACTCTGGCCCCTAGGTCGTTCGTGAACTGGAAATAGCACACAACAACAATTCATAGGGAGAAACCTGTGGACTGTAGCTTAATTGTTTTTCACTCTGGCTTCAATAATAGTCACACATTGAACATAAATGCATTTAAACATTAAACACTTAAGTTTGGAAAAATGGAGGGTCAGCAAAAGAGAGGAAGATCCCCAATGAGGTGGATTGACACATACTGACTTGTAACAATTGGCTCATGTCTGTCAGAGATGATGAGAACAGCACAGGCGAGGACAGGGTTCAAGTCTGTTGTTCATAGGGTCACTGAATTGTACTAAACTCAGTAGCAACAGGAATAATGTTTCAATCCTATGTGTGCATGGAAGAAGCCCTAATAATGCAGTATAGATAAAAGCTTGGAAGCTAACCAGAACAATGATCTCTCAGACACTGGAAGAAAAGACCTGGGGATCTGCTCCTGAGAGATTACAACAAAGAAAGACCCTACAGGGAGGTTCTGTCAGAATCTACTCCTCAGCATTGAATTTGTGATTTGAATTTATTTATGTCTACACAGGTAAATAATAAGGAAAAAATTCAAAAGTTCTCCTATGGCCGAATAGTTCACACATTCCTGGGATTCTCTCCCCACCGCCTATGAGCCCATCTCTAAATCTCCTGGAGATCCTGAATATTTCCAAGGATACCATTCCCCATGTGATGATTTCTGGAAGATCCACATCAATGAGCCTCATGGATGTTATGACATTTTCCCCTGAGGCAAGGGTCAGTAAATTTCTTACCCTGAAAAACTGGATAATAAATATTTTAGGCTTTGTAGGCCATTTGATCTCTTCTGCAGCTACTTCATTCTGCTGTCAATCAAAACCTGTTGCCTTTGGGTCTATTCCAATTCATAGTGATCTGACAGGACACGCCCAAAGGACCTGTCTTCTGTATGGAAGCAGCTTGTCACCTCTCTCTCCCGAAGAGTGGCTGGTGGGGTCAGCCTACTGGCCTTCCCTTTAACAATGGAGCACTTAACATCATACTGTAGAGTTCCTGAACTCAGCCGTCACTGCTACCTAAATGGATGATAGTGACTATGGTCCATTCAATAATACCTGGTTTATAGACACCAAATTTGAGCTGTAAATAAATGAAATATTCTAACACACACACACACACCCAATCATTTCAAATTGTGAATATCATTAACTCTTAGCTCTCAACCTTTACAAAAAGAGATAAGTCAGCTGGATCTAGCGCACCAGCCCCTGTTCAAGAACTTAAAATCTCATCAGGTGGATAAGTATTGTTGTTGTTGTTCTTGTTGTTAGGTGCCATCAAGTCACACACAACTCATAGCAACCCCATGAACTAAAGATCTGAACCCTGTTCTGTCCTGTGCCATCCTCATACTTCCTTACACACAAGAGTATCATGTCATTCTCCAAGGAATAGCATCCCCCGCTCCCAGCAACATGTCCAAAGTATGTGAGGTGTAGCCTTGTCATTCTTGTCTCCAAAGAGCATGCTGGCGTACACAAGGTTGGAGTTCCACACAAATGCTGAATTACCTAAAAAAAGAGCACCCCCTTTATGCCCTCTGATTTCCATGGAAAGCTCTAGTGAGGGGAAGAATTAAGATGTAGTCTATAGGGAGCTGTGTTGATAACCCGAAGACAGCACCTTGCTGCTGGTTCAAATCTACAGAGAAAGATGGGCAATCTCTGCCCGTATGATTTACAGCCTCTGGAAAAACCCCTGGAGGGTTAGCTACGAGTCAATTCCAACTCAACAGCAATGAGTTTGAGTTTGTTATTGAGCCATATGAGAGGTTAAAGAAATGGTAAATGACAGATTAATTCTAGGAAACTGGGTCAAGGTCATCAAATAAGCAAATACATAATTAATAACTTCTCAAATATATAATGTATAAGATTGGCTACATTTTTTGTGGAATTCAATGCAAAAGGAAAAGTTAGACCCTTTTCCAAAAAGCAAGACAAAGGTGTTGTTAACAGTACTAAACTAAACTATAAAGCTGAAGACTGAGAAAAACTGGATAAATTGTATATACTGCACTGAAACAGATGAGGGATTGAATAATTTAAAAGCAATGTATGATGGGGTATTATGGTTATCACAAGAGTCCACAATTAAGCTTCCATAGTGGAATGCACTTGGAATGGTGGGAGGGGTGCGAGGAGATTGTGTACCAGGGAGGTAATGTTTCTTTTACTTTTAAAAGAGATGAGTGAACTGGGGGGCGAGGAGGGGGGAGGGCTGGGCGGGGAGAGAAATGCAGCAATGAATGAGTGGAAATCCAAAATCTCTGTAAATGTTCATTAAAATTTGGTGGTTTTTTTTTTTAAAAAAAAAGCTGTTTCCTTTCTTCTGTGTTCAGTTTCCTGAATTATGCTATTTGTATTATTATTTATTATTTCATGGAATGC